CGAAGTATCTGTAAAATGGCATTAAAATTCATTTTTGATCACAAACTCATAATTGTACAGGAAGTTTAAATTTCTTTTTTAAGCCCATTAATAGGTGTGGACACCTTTAACAATAAATTAAATATTACCTTTCTGTAATTTTACCAATTTTGGGCAATTATTAATATTTTAATCTAACTTGTAATCTAAGCATTATGATAAAAGTCAACATCTGTGAAATTATGTAATTATGGCTGTTTTTCAGTGATCAAAACTGTTGTGGTGGCAGCCCGGCTGATGGTGAGTGTCCTGTTTTTTTTTCTCCTTTTTATCAGTTGTTCTGCTTTTTCCTTGGTTTTCTGTTCCCTGCCTGCCTCCCTGTGTTTTCTCCCCTGTGTGCTCTCTCTCTCTCTGCTCCTGAGCCCAGCCAACGACCAGCACCTGCACCTCATCAGCCACCTCGTCAGCCTGCCACACCTGCCAGTAATCAACCTCATCCCTGCCTGTATTTCAACCCCGGTTCTCCACACCACTCTTGCTTGATCGTCGTTGCTCCATACCCGGTGCCACCTCCACGTTCAGGCTCTCGTGTTTTCTCACATTTTCCCTGTGCTTTGTCTCCGTGATCTCTAACCCTGTCTCTCTGTCTGTTTCCCTCCCAGGTACACTCACCCTCGTCCTCCGTTCAGTCGGCTGGGCTCATCCACCGGTCCTCTCCTCCTCGGACTTCCCCCACGGCGTCCTCCCTGTTCTCCCTCACCTCCTCGCTTCCCCGGCCCCAGTGTTCCCCGGCTTCCTGGTCCCCAGTCCCCTTGGTTCCCCGTGCCTGAGTTTCCCCAGCATCCACCTCTCCCTCCAGTCCCTCTACCCCTTTTTCCCTTCAATAAACCTCCTTCCCTCTGAGTGCTGCGTTTGGGTCCTCTCTGTCCCCACACCACACCACCCTCACAACACAAAACTGTTTTGACAGTTTAACAATGCTTGTAGACATTATACACTGATTAAAATAACATTTATTTAATATTATTTTCCAAATATCCATAATTAAAGGAGATGTGTCAATTAACAAGCAAATCTATGTCAAATTACAGAACTCATGTTTTTTGTTATGTTAACTGTTACTAATTGTAGTAAAGTTTAAGAAATGTTTTTACAGTCTTAAATTGAACAGTTTTTTTCTTTTAAATAAGACAAAAAATATTTGTGAGAATATGGTAAATTCCTAAAAACCCCAATATTTTCTTTAAAATAACATGTTATGGTTATTCACAGCTACAAGTTTTTTATGTCATGTGTAAATTCAGTTTATTTTTGTAATATCTATATAATTTTCATGTATTTCAAAAATACAGGAATAATCTGTGATAAATAAAAAGGAATATAACTGTAAAATTACAGATTTTTTTTACAGTGTAGGCAAAAACTAAATAAATAGTAGATAATAGTAAATAGTAAACAAAATTGAACAATTTCAAGACCAAGAAGTGTGTTACACTTAATAACCTAAATAATCAGGGTTATATCACAAAGACATTGAAATGACACATCTTTGCTAGGCTGTCACCAATTTATTGATGTCTATTGCTATCTTGTAATGTAAAAATTACAGTAGCCTATGCATACATGAAGGTAAAAAAAGATTTTGTTCCTATAACCTATAAGCAATTAAATTTATGACAAAGAGATTAAAGGAAGTATAAAGGGCATGTATTTTGAGTTACAGTGAAAAGGTATAATCTTAATAGCCTACCCTTCATAATAAAGAGGACTAGATACTGCACTTAAACATAAAACTATTGACAGTATGTGACCTAGATATTTCAGATTTTGATCATTTTCCTGTGTTGTGATTAAAGTTGAAAATGGAAGGTGCAGGTTCATCTCAATAAAATTTGAACATTGTGAAAATTTTAATTTTTTCCTGTAATTTCATTCAAAAATATATTTATTATTTATATTTTAGATTCATTACATATAAAGTGAAATATTTCAGGCCTTTTTTGTTTTCATCTTGATGGTTTTGGCTTACAGTTCATGGAAATCAAAAATCCATATCTCAAAATATTAGAATAAAGAATGTAAATACAGAAATGTCGACCTGAGAAGAGCGTTTAATCTCTCCATCTGGTTCAGTACACATGACCCCCTCTACGACGAGGGTAGGCTACAGAAGGTCATTGCTGAAAGGGCTGGCTGTTCACAGAGTGCTGGATCAAAACATACCCATGGAAAGTAGACTAGGTTGAACACTAACGCCCCCTGTACCGGCAGCAGCACATGATCTCACAAACCTGCTGACTTACTTTTGACGTTTTTGCTTTTTTGTGCATGTAACAGGTTTGCTAAGTGAAAAAGCCCAAAGTCCAGCCCAAAGGGAGTTCCCATCTCCCACAGAAAACACTGCTCTCAACTGCTTGAAAACAGCTAGTTTGTAGTCCAGACGTTTCCCTGAAAGCTAAATGGGCCTCATATAACTCTCGCCAAGCGGCTACTCCGATACACCCTCAAAAAGACCTGTGGAAAAACACTGAGCTGCAGCACACACCTCCTCTATCTTTCAAACACTAGCTACCCTCCAGGCAGTCAGTGGACATAAAGTTGTTCCTGTGATGTAGAGACAGAGCTCAGTTAAAATTTTATGGATGAAAGATACATTTGTTACAGATTAATAACTCACCACTCTGAAACTCTTGCTCCAGTCTATGTTGCCAAGCTGGTCGGCAACATGTACAGCTGAAACGAAACCCTGTTTACGGCTTCTCGCTGTCCCGCTCTTCTCTGCTTCTGATTGGCTAGTAGCTCTTAACTAGGAACTGCGCATGTGCAACTCCCAACAAAGATCATTTAAAGACAAGATGTATCACTCCGTAGCTAAAATGAAGCCTTCAACACAGGGTGAAAAGAGGAGCTGCAGTATGAATAGTATATAATAGTATAGTATGTATGTAGTATGTATGAAAAAAAATGTTTTTTTGAAATTTAAATGTAAACCTGTTCTGGTACAACCCCTAAATAGGATTTTGAAAATGAGCATAATACTTTAAGTAAAAAAATCTGATGATTTGTTGCTCGGAGTATTGGTGGGTGCTGGGAACTGTTCCTGCCTTCTCTCGCCTTTTTCTGCAGAGCAGGAGAAGTGCCGTTTTGGAACACATGGTCTTTTGTGCCATTTGGTGGCCGACCCGTAGGAGCTACATAGACATCCAGGGTATCAAATGAAAGGTCTGCTCAAGCCAGATCAATCACTGTGGGATGTTCTGTTCTCTAGCTACAGGCCTGTAAAGCATGGGTGTGCTTTTGATGACACGAATGTTGATGAATATTTACTGTATTTCAATGTTATGTTATTTGGAACGTGGTTGTATGGACATAAATACTGTTTTAAAGATAACTCACAATAAAAGTAAACATTTAAACAGTAGAAATTGCCAAAATATGGACATTTGCCTGGTATATTTTGAAAATTATGTGTGATAACTGTTGTATTTTAGTTTGTTTTCATCAAATTTACAGTTACAATTACATCCCATGTGTATTAAAATATATTCAATAGCATTATAATCTATCTTATGATGGTTTTGATGGTTTATTGCATTAAAATATAGCTTTTTTTTTTACCTGTAAATAGGGGCAAATAGCTGGAAGTTTCTGTTGACAAGCTTTATGAAGAAGCTGATTTCCTTTTCCAGCAGGACTTGGCACCTGCCCATGGTACCAAAACTACTAGTAACTGGTTTGCTGACCATGGTATTACTGTGCTTGGTTGGCCAGCCAACTCGTCTGACCTGAACCCTATAGAGAATCTATGTGGTATTGTCAAGACGACAATACAATACACAACATACAACAACATAACAGACGAGCTAAAGGCCGCTGTCAAGAAGGTCGACATTTCTGTATTACACATTCCTTATTCTAATATTCTAATATTTTAAGATATGGATTGAGATCCATGGATGGATCCATGAGCTGTAAGTCATAATGATCAAGATTAAAACAAAAAGGGCTGAAATATTTCACTTTATGTGTAATGAATCTAGAATATATGAAAGTTTCACTTTTTTGAATTTAATTAAGAGGAAAAACCCAACTTTTTTTAATTCTAATTTTCTGAGATGCACCTGTATGTGAAAAAAATAAATCATATCCCCTCATAAATTTAACCCTTCAGATTCTCCGGTGAGTCAATGGCCCCTTTCTCCCTGTCCTCCAGACTTCACATTTCACCAACAAAATTACTCCATAAATTGACTAACATAAAGGAAAACTATCTTTTTCTGGGGGAAGATACACCCTGGTTAGGTTTGGTTTCCCGATTTAGGCTTTGATGTCTGGAAGTATGCTGATTAACCATTCTCATTCATTTTTAACCTTGATTATTTATGTTTTTTTGTCTACATGCTTTCAAAATGTGAATTTGGCAGCTGAACCTTTTAAACAAAATTCATGAGGGTTGAGGATTGGGTAATGTCTCTCCAAACTAAACTTAAAAGGTGGCAGCTCTATTAATATGTGACCAATGAAGGTAAACCTTCGTTGGATAACTATGACCTGGATGACTGAGAATCTCCATAGACATCTATTAATATGTGAACAAGATGTTTATTTGTACTGTTCCAAACTGACACTCAATGAGTAAACCTTGGAGAAAAAGAAAAGCTTTATGTTTTATATCATTTAAATTAGGAATATTGTGTACAATCACATGCCATCAAAGAGTGGAACATTAAAAAGCTCAAAATCTGAGCGTCTTTTCAGTAAATAAATCCTTTGCGCCAAATCACCAGCTGACGGCAAGAGGATTCACTGTAACCTACTTCCGTTTTCGATTTAATACCATTATTTAACCCGCGAAAATACTTCTATAGTTATTTTGAAAGTTTCACCAATACTTGTGGTGCAACTTGGTATAAAACAGCGGACTTGGCTAGCACGGTCCTTACTGCAGGTAGGAGATACAACCTGCTGTCTGGTGAAGTCTTTCCGAATCCGTCAGGACTTGAAAGCAGCGCACGCAGCGCGTCACGTGCTTGTGCGGGTGGGGGCGGAAGTGGAGCTCTTGTCTTCCTTTCCCATCCCACCCCACCTTCGCTCGGATACTGAATGGAACTGGTAAGACAAAACTCTCCTGCTTCAACTTCTTCACTGCGGCCTCGTTGTAACTCTCGGTGACGCTGGAAGCTGTTTACGCGCTCTGTTTGTCTCATGTCCCTCCTGATCCACCAGGCTCAGCTTTCCTTTGCCTTTCTTCCATCTTTAAGCCTCATTGTCATGCAAATAGGCTATGGGATAACTTTCGTTATCATTGTCCTTGTAGATTGTAGAATGTTGCAAAGAGGCACATGCTTTATGTACTGTTCAGTAATGCAGAAGTTCCTCGTAGGATTATTTACTTTGAGACAAAGTGTGTTCTGACGGTAGAGTAAAACTTGTTCAAACTCCTCAGGCGCTGCGGAGCCCCCCCTCACTGCCTTTAACAGTCAGTCCTTCAGGACAGCAATGGATCACGCTGGAGCCACTGAGGGCCCTGGACAAGCCAGAAGACCCTCCAGTTCGTCCTCTGGGACACCCATGGGTGCCGAGGGACAAACAGCACAGAGGCCCAAAGTAAAGATAACTCCCTTCCACAGCTCACCCATAGCCAGTAGTGATGGAGGTCATCGCAGCAAACGATCAGGAGCAGTTTTTGGGAAACCACTGGCATCTCCTGGCAGCCTGTTTCTGGACACACCTGGTGGGCTGACTGCTCCACCTGTTGGACAGAGACTTGCTGCTTCTGCTGCTGCTGCTGCTGCTGCTGCTTCTGCTGCTGCTGTTGCTTCGGCTTCTGCTGGGAGCCCAGAGGGACAAACTCACAGTTCAGGCACTTTATTCGCCACTACAGGAGAAAAAACACCTGTTGTCAAGGTAAACACACATACTGATGAGTGTTGTATAGCACTTTTTAAAATTAATTTCTGTTATAATTTTTTAAACGCCAACCACAAGTTGGAAATCTCAGTGATAACATGAGAAAGGAAGACAGAAACAATACTGATGGAGAAATCTGTGTGGATGGACTAATAAATTGTAAAATAAAAAAGAAGGTTGGAAGAGTGCTCAGTAAGGGAAAACCTCCAGTATGGAATTTCTCAGTAAAAGGCATCAGAAAGTTAATTTTGTTAAGGTAATATAATTTGTTATTTATCTTTTATATCAATTAAATGAAAGTACAGATTATTTTTGCACATTTTCTGTTCATTTTGTGCTGGAGAGCTGCAGAGAAACATAGAAAAGTTAGAGAGAAAGAGATTGACATGCATTCCTAGGTCAGAATCCAACACGCAGATCTCTCTCTCTCTCTCTCTCTCTCTCTCTCTCTCTCTCTCTCTCTCTCTCTCTCTCTCTCTCTCTCTCTCTCTCTCTCTCGGTTCAGTTTGGTTGGTGGGAAATGTCAGTGGACAGCCATTTTCAGATCTCCCAGAGGTGTCAGGCTGGACCACTCTGCCTACTAATTGGAAGATGCTGTTGGTGTGTGAATGTTAATTTCTGTTTCTGATGAGCAGTTAGCATGTTACCTCTGCCATCAGTGTATGAATGGGGTGAATTTGATGTAGGATAAAAGCGCTTTGAGTGGTCGGAAGACTAGAACAGTGTTATACAAGTTACCATCTTGGCTTGGCTTGACTTGACTTTGTGCTGGGAATCATTGTCCAGTCTGAGGTCCTGAGTGCTCTAGACCAAGTCTTTATCAAGGATATCTCTGTACTTTGCTCCTTTAAGCTTTCTCTGGTTCTTTGAAGAGTCTTGGTTGTTACAAATTTCTTACATTTAACAATTATGGAGGCCACTGTGGTCTTCAGAACTGTCAATGCAACACATTTTTGGGTAGCCTTCCCTAGATGTGTGCCTCGATTAAAAACCTGAGCTCTGCAGGCAGTTCCTTGGACCTCGTGGCTTCTTTTTGCTATAGGCCTAGACTGCCGGGGGATTTCCCATGATGCACTGAGCTCCTCTCTCCTCTACTTTCTCTCCCTCTGTATGCAACCTCATCCCATTATTGCATGTTACTAACACAACTTCTCCCCTTTCTGGCAGTCTTGTGCTTTCTCGTCTCTCTCCTCTCTCCTATCACTTCCTGCAGGTTTTCTGGCTCTGGAGCTGTGGAGTCTGGATCTGTGGTTGCGGGTCACCTGCTGCCCCCGTGTTCCTGCTCGACACCCTCTGCTGCAACGACTATTGTTGCTAGTCTTATTGTTATTATTGTTATTATAATCATTAACATTACGATTGTTACCATTAACACTATTATAAATATCTGTACCATTTTTCATTTAGTCTATAGCAACATCACCTTCACTGTCTGTACCTCTGTGTGTATATTGTGTAGGCTGCAAAATAACAAAATGTGTCAAAAATGCATAACTGGTATACTAACTACTGTACTAATGAATTTAAATGTAATAACTAGTTTGTTCTTGCCTTCACCTTTCTCATTTATTAAATAAATAATGAAATAGGTTTTCTTTTTTTCCTCCAAAGCCTGGAGGCAAGAAGGCCCCAAAGTCAAGCCTGATACATTCACAGATGTCTGGACCACCATCTAACACTGAGCTTTGTCACAGCCAGAAAGGCAAAGAGGGGAAAGCTGTCTTCACGTCCATGAAACCTCAGTCAGGTTGTTGATACTTTCTTTTGCACACTTTATTAGTTGAATCTAACTTTTAAAAATACCTGATGCAAAACAGGTTGCAGCAATTTGACCAATAATTCTGGTGCAATTTTTAGAAATATGTCTAGACAATTAGCTTAGCTCAACTTGTATGCAAAATACAATATCTCTCTGTTCTGTTGCATTTAAATGATTGATATTAGCAGATATTAGCATAATATATATATATATATTTTCTCCCTATACTGTGTGATTGTATTTTACTATTATAAAATAGCTAAAATTCTGATAAAAGTCTCATACTCATCTTTTGATCTTAAACCCAAATGTCTTCAGTGAACAACAAAAAACAAAGGAATTTGCCTTACCGTTCTAATACTTTTGGAGGGGACTGTATGCTTTTTTAAAGCTTTTGTTGTTTTACTGGTGGTGTTGTGAGTTACAGCCCATTAATGTCAAGGTTTCATTGATGAATTAAATCATGTAGTAACATGTTTTCCATGCAGTAATAATCAGTTTTTAAAGTACACGCTTGGCCCTTTGATGTTACATGTAGTCTCAAAGGTGAATTTTGAGGTATTATGTCCTCATGATGACTTCTGGCCTCCATGTAACCTCACTCTGTGTGCCCTTCTTAGCTGTGAAGAGGAAGAAGAGGAAGATGGGAATGTACAACCTGGTCCCCAAGAAGAAAGCCAAGGCCCTTAAACAGCAGGAGAAGGCAGGTCCACTTATTTATTCATGTGTGTCAGACCTCCTGTCAGTAACCCAGAAGAGCAAATTAATGCCTCAAACAACATGTTCACTTTTGCATAAAATAGATTTTTCAAATTATGTTTATAAACCAGAGGCAGCATTGATCTGTTATTAGGAGGTAGTATACATCAATCTTTCTACCAGCTGGCTCAGTAAAAGAAATAAAATAAACCCCCCATTGCATACTTGGATACTTGATAGTCATAATATCTGTTTCATACATTCACACCCTTGCTTTAGTTCACATAATGCCACTATATATCCACTATGTGCAGCCACTAGATCAACGGAGGCAGAAAAGAAAATCTGAATCTGCACTTATCTATCTATTAATCTTTATTTCTATTTCTATCTTTTATGGAATACTAATACATACAAATGTCATTCTGTGTTTTAATCAGAAAGAGCAGCCAGGAGCCTGCGTGGAGAAGAACCCAGCTGTAGCAGAGGAGAAGCCAGTAATTCTACCAGAGACTCTGAATGCTGTCAGAAATGAAATGCTGCTGGAGGTTGAACCTGGAGATGGCAGCCATGTTGAATACACTGAGCTGGCTTTGGACTATCTGGACCTTAAAGCTCAGGAAGAGCTGCTCTTACCCCCCCTGTCAGGTGATAAGAGCATCTCATTGACTCCGTTGGCTTCGTAACATAGATCTAAAGTTATCATGTCCCATTTCTCTTCTACAGAATACAATTTTATAGTCCACTGGTCTGTTTCTTGGTGTGATGTGTGGTGAAATAATGTGATGTGTGTGCGCAGGTGTAGCAGCAAATGCTGAGGTGACAGAAACAGACTTGGCTGAGGAGTTACCGCTGTGCTGCTGTCGGATGGAGACTCCTCACAGTGTAGGCAGCCTGTCCACACTGGATCAGACCTGCATGGCCATGGAGAGCATGGATGGAATGGTAAACTCTGATGTGTCACTTTGATTTTGACATTTTATTAGTATGCCATGTGTGATTTCGAGTGGAATTGCCTTTTAAAGCCCTTTGTACGAGGGTAATCCTTATTGGTATACGTTTCAGTGGAACAGTTTTAGCTGTTTTTCATTCTGGAATCCCAAGGATAGCCCTGAAAGGAAAGCACTGAATATTTGTGATCAGATTAAAAAATCAATGTAATCTGTTGCTGAGTAAGGTTAAGAGGAGTTTAAAAGCACCAATGGTAGTCGAAACCTATTGCTTTTAATGTTATAACAGTATGTTAGGTTATTTTTATAAACGGCTCCTTCATTTCACTCCACAGCTGAGTCGTTGCCAGAGGCGTGTGATGAAGCAGGAAATGATGCGACCCTCGAACACGGTCCATCTGCTGGTTCTGTGTGAGGACCACCGGGCTGGCATGGTCAAGCACCAGTGCTGCCCTGGCTGTGGACTCTTCTGCAGGGCGGTGAGGGCAAACGAAGCACTCTGATACTATAGACACATGGAGACCTGACATTAGAACCATACTGTACATTATTTTGAATCAGGATATCAGTGGTAATCTATGGGACAATTCTAAATAGAAGTCATAACCAAGACTGGGCAGAGGGATGTATTTCTGTTTCTAGTAGGTTATTTCTTATTTCACCTCTTTAATTTAACTTCATTCTCCACCTTATTTTAGTATTTTAGTGTTTACTCACTACTTGAATCTGCTCACCTACAGTTCTCTTTTCCACGCACTCACACACACACACACACACACAAACCTAAATAAGTCTATATGTGAGAAACACTCCCATATCCATCCCCCTCTCATCTCCTTTTCCTTATCCTCTTTCTCTGTGTGCTCTTCCTCCTCTCTCTTTTCACTCTCCACCCTCCCTCATAATGTAAAGCAGTGATTCTCAACGAGGGGAACTTATCTCAAGGTGTACTTAGGCAGTTGTCAGGGGCTACATGGACAGATTGTGCAGTAGCTCAAATAATACGAACTTTTGATTTGATTAAAAATATATATAGACAGCCCAAGTAATTGGAAACAGTCAGAATTTTCAGGTAAAAGTAATGATTAAATACACCCCGTTATGGAGGGCTAAAGATATTGGATAAATGTTCCAACTTAAAATGCCCCCCCATAAGTTTCCCCCCACATTGCTGGTGGTGGCATTGCGGCCCCAGTTGCAAGGTTGCCAGACTGAGCTTGGATACTGCAGTTCTTGACCTTCAATAGTTCTCCTGTTCCATCCCACAGGGCACCTTCATGGAGTGCAGGCCACATGGCAGCATCTCCCACCGCTTTCACCGCGACTGTGCCTCCATTTTGAAGGATCTCAAGTTTTGCCCCCACTGCGGAGAGGATGCCAGCGGGGCAAAGGAGATCACAATGTTAAAGGCTGCACCGTCACCCTCTGTACCCAGATCCAAGCCCGGGCCATCACTTCCAGCTGTTCCCACTGTAGCCACCCTGCCATCCGTACCAACCACGCCTGCTGTTCCACAGATACTCAGAGCTAAGAAGACCAGCAAGCCACAGAGGAGCAGAGATGAGAGCCCGAGCAGGTACCACAGGACTGACGCTGCTTATCTAACGTCATCTCCTCATATTGAAATCTCTACACTCACAATTAAATGACAGTTCATGTTAATTACAACTGGGGTAAAATAAAACTCTTACTACTTGCTTTTTCTCTGCAGTTTAGAGGGCGAGGCTGTGTGTGCTGCAGATAGAGTACCTAAAGAGTCACTGGAGAATATTCTAATGGCACTGGATGATGAGAAGTAAGGTTCACCATTTAAATATTTTGTTTTCAAAAAAGTGCAGTGTGGGGCAACAGTTTGCACTTTGATAATTGATTGAGACCTTTTATTCTTTTTAGCCTGAAACCAAAGAAAGTGAAGTATCCAACTAGACAACTGTACATCTCTGCAAAACAAGGAGAGCTCCAGAAGGTCATTCATCTCCTAGGTAACTCAAATATGTTATTTGACATAAAACGGCTTCAGTTACAATTAAAGCTGCAAACAGCGATGAACGGGCCCTTGCGCCTTCATGCGTGTCGGGGCGTGCCATGCGTGCCTGGTCCCGAGGTTGGTCTGAATGTGGCGCTAGGCACAACTTTTCATCGCCAATGTCTTTACGATTATACTGCGATCCATTCATTCTGTGGGAGTTAAAGTATGGAGCCTGTAAAATGGCGAAATTTGCTCATTCAGTTCAAAATAGCTGACTTCTTGTTAGGCTTATCGTATGGCTCCAAGAGGCTTTTTTTGTGTCTTGGGATGATACGGGTCTGCCACAAATCTTTTGTGCATCTAGGTGAAGGGTAAAGCTGGGGCTCCTTCATTAAAAATCTGTAGGGGCCGCTATGGTGCTATTTTGCCACACCCATGCTTATATCAGACATAAACCTTTGCCACTTCTGACATTTGTACAAAGAGTTTTTGAGCACCTCTAGGGCCTCAAATGTGATCCATTTGCGAGAAGAAAAAGAATAATAATTCCTTGCAATTTAATAGGGTCCTTGCACAATTTGTGCTTGGGCCCTAATAACTCAATGTATCTTTTTTAGCATTTGCATTATCACACTAATAGAACAAACTTTGTACATTACAGTTGCTGGGAAGGACCCCAACTTTTCGATGGAGGGCCAAAACAGAGGCACCCCCCTTCATGCAGCAGCTGCTGAGGGTCACCAAGAGATCTGCCACATGCTGGTCCAGGTGAGGAGATTACAAGACAGGCCTAATACAAAAGGCTTTGTAAATATTATGACATTTAAGCTTTTATTATCTTTTATTTTGACCTCATATTTTTAAATACATTACCTTTGTCTACACACGTCCAGTACTGTGCAAAGGTTTTAGGCAGGTGTGTAAATAACACATGGTAGCTTTGCTTTAATCTTGAGAAGCTGCAGTCTCTATTTACTGTAATTTACACTGTACATTTCCAGCTAAACTGAAGCTTATTGTTGGCCATTTTCTCTCTGCTCGCCTGCCAGTCACTGGTCTGCAGAGTTATGCGTGCATGTCGCAGCGCTGTTTTTATTCCCCTATCTATCAAGTCGGCGAAAGTCAGCCAGTTATCTCGAGCGCACCTGTAGACTACTAGTTATACAGCGTGGTAACTTCGACAGCTGTTTTCCAAAGTTAACATAGCTATCCTTATTAGCTAGCAACAAAAACAGGCAAAGGTGAATGGTGTAGCCATGGCAAAAGCCAGCAGTTGCCTGCTTGTAATGTCTCAGGTAATGCAAACAGGTCCACTTCTGCTGTGCAATATTTGCCCCATATTTCCTCTACCACCCCTGGGTGGAGTCTCCACTCCCCAGCGGGAGGCGTCTGGCGGGAGAGGTAGCCACCACGTTCTGTTGTCCTGGCAAGTACATGGCCTTGAGGCTGGCCAAGCGGGAGAAAGCCCATACCAGGAGTCGCCATGCGACCTGTAGCGACGTGGCCGACCTGGTGCCTCCTTGCCGATTTACATGGTAGACAGCTGATGTGTGTCGGATCGAACAAGAACATGCCTGCCTCTCCAATGTGGCAGGAACTCGTCCAGCGCCAAACCGATAGCCCGCTGCTCAAGCACATTTATATGCTCCATCCTTTCCTGGCTCGTCCAGAGGCCACTCACTGCCCTGTGCTGCCACGCTGCCCCCCACCCTGTGGGCGACGCGCCGGTTACCACTACCTCCTAACGCGATGGGATCAAACCCAGTGAGATGCCCTTGGACAGATATGCCCCATCTCTCCATGGCCGTAACACTAGTAGGCATCGGGAGGACACCCTGACTCTCTTGGATCTGTGTAATTGCGGATCTGAATGGAGGCCATTGATCCAAATTTGGAATGGTTGTAGGCCCAGTGGCACCACTGATAGAGGTAACAGAGGTCAACATACCCATCAACCTGAGAAAAAGGCTGTACCTCAACCTCCTGTCCCTCTGGAAATTACGGAGAAGCTGGAGTGTTGCCTCTCCCCGCCGTGAAGTTGGGAAGGCCAGCATGTGACAGGAGTCCAGGGTTAATCCAATGAACACCACCCTTTGGCTGGGTATCAGACAGCTTTTGGCGTAATTGACGGTAAGGCCCAACCTTGTCACATGACATAGAAGGGAGGCAGTGTCCTGCTCCACCTGTTCCCCCCTCAGAGCACATATAAGCCAGTCGTCCAGATATGGGAGGATCTGCATACCACTGGCTTGCATCGGGGCCAGTGCTGCCCGCATGCACCTCGTGAAGACCCTTGGGGCTAGGGAAAGCCCGAATGGGAGCACCTTGAACTGATGGGCCACGCCTTTGAATGCAAAGCGCTGTCTCAGTAGGGGTGTAGGCCCCTGAAGGCTAGCAAACTGCTGCCTAGTTTGTTTAGCCTGGATTCCCCGCTCCAAAGCCTGCTGCGCTGCTGGGCCGAACAGCTCCCCTGGTACTACAGGGAGAGTGCGTAGGGCCCTCCTGCCTTGCTCCAAAAGCGGTGATTGGGCCAGCCAGACCTGGCGACGAGCCAAGGTAAGTGTTGCCATTAGCCTACCAAGCTCTCTAGTCATAAGGGCAAACGCCTGCAAAGCTGCATCACTGAGGCTCTGGACGGAGGATTGCACAGACTGGGACAGAGCTAATATAAGGTGGGAAAAAGAGTTTCCAATACGGCCAATACGTGCCGCTGTATCATAACCTCTCACCAGAAAGTCATCCGTAATGCAACACTGCGGCCTAGGACAGCGAGCATCCGGTCTCAACACTTCAGTGGGTGACACAATGAGGGACGCGATAACTGGCTCCACAGCCGGCATCTGGCCCAGCCCGTAACTGCTGGCATTCTGCATGGCAACCAAGGCCCTGCCGTCAGTTGTATGGTGAGAAAAAGCCTTGGGGTCTGGCCAGCATTTGTGGAGCTCCTCAATGTATGGCTGGGAAGGTGGCACAGAAAAACCCGCCTCAGGTGGGAGATGCCTAAAGAATGCACTAGCTGTGGTACCTGCAATTGGTGCTTCATCCAAGCCCAAGCGTGCCAGTGCCATACGGACCACTGACTTAATTGTAGCATGGGCAGCCTCTGAGCCTGCTCTGGACCCGCTCCCCGTCTGCCGGTGTCAGAAGCACGGGTGGAAGCCTTCACTTCTCCCTTCCCAGGTCTGTCCTTGCAGAGCTGGCTGCAGGAAGCCCTTGTAGACAGGGCATCGTCATCCAATCCTTGAGGGGTGGGGCTCCCGGCTGGGCTGTCCACACTGCTTGCAGCCCCCCTGCCTGGCTGAAGGTTAAGGAGCAACCCCTTAATCTCAGCGAATTCTGAGGCTAGTGTGTCTACCTTGGCTGCCAAACCATCCACCTTCTTGGCTTGCTTTCTAGGGGGAGCACCTGAAAGCGGGGTGCGATTATGTCTACTCCGCACCTGTGAGGCCACACCAGATGAAGGTGTTACGCCCCTGTAAAAGGGGAAATAGAAAGTACGACACGGACACGA